AGTACATTCAAGAAACTAACTATTTATAAAAATACTAATAATAAAAATAATAAATAAAATAATAAGATAAAATAATTAAAACTCATTTTATAACAATGCTAAAAATTTATATAAATAAATTTTGTTTTTGCTAAGCTATATTTTAAAAATAACAATTTATTATATAAAGTAGGTTGTATATAAAGTATATTTATAGCAAATTGAGTTATAATGATAAGATTATCTTGTCATATGTATAGTACATATTTCAGTATCAAATATTATTGTTATTATTTATATATTATACAACTATAAGGAATGTTTATTGAATATTACCTGATGATTATTACATAACTACTAACTGAGCACAGATTATAATTTCACAAAAATTTATATAAATAAATTTTGTTATTGCTAAGCTATATTTTAAAAATAATAATTTATTATATAAAGTGAGTTGCATGTAAAGTACATATATAGCAGATTGAGTTAAAATGATAAGATTATCTTATCATATATATAGTACATATTTCAGTATCAGATATTATCATTATTATTTGTATATTATACAACTATAAGGAATGTTTATTGAATATTATCTAATGATTATCACATAACCACTAACTAAGCACAGATTATAATTTTGTTAAATTTTTAGCATCTTGTTTTTTATATTATTTTCTTAAGCATTTCTTAATTGCATAAAACTAAAATTATTTATAATATAATTTAATGATCACTATAATTCATATGTATATAAAATCTTTAAAATAATTACTAAAGCTCTTTGCAAACTAAAGATATACTAAATTGTAAATCATATAACTTATTTTATTTTCTATATACTGTTCAATTGATTTTCTTTTAAAGCTTGTTAAAGATCATGTATTTTCTTTTTTTTCTGTTTTTTTCCTGAAAGTATAATAAAATAGTTTAGATCTTATATATTAGTTTCACATATATTATTATGCATACTTTGTCTTAGTCTTTCTTGTTAAACTTTTTTAAGTCTATGATTTAATCTTTTTCTATATCTTGCTATTGCAGTAACTTGAACTTGAATTCTTTTTCCTCCATGTTGATAACTATTACTATTAGCCTGAGCTGTACTCTAGTTATATATTTGAAAAAAAAGATATTACTAGTCGAATATAGTATCTTTTAAGAGATGATATTGCTTATAAACTTTGATAAACTTCATATACTTTTATTTAATATAGGGTTATTTTTATTAAGAAAACTTTTAAGATTATTGCAAAACTACTAGAATTCATTTATAGCAAATTGATGAAGGTCATCATTATCTTTACTTGTATTACTACTAGTTTCATCTTGATCACTATTATGATCATTGTCTTGATCATCATCTTTACTATCACTAATAATTGTATTATTACTAGTATTATTGTTTTAAATATTGTTTTCACTATTACTGATATTATTATTGATTTAAAATTGTAAAGATACTAAGGATGCAAATTCAGAAAGTATATTTTTTTTATTTAGGTTATTAAAATTAGTTTCATAGTTTATACTAATTATATTATTATTAGTTATTGTTACAGATATAGTATTGATATATTGTTTTTGTTCAAGCCATACTTGATGAAGATCTGAATAGAATTCAAATTCTTGATATTTCTCTTCTAATGCTAAATATATATAATGATAACGGCTGCTTACTATCATTATGAGTATTTGATTCAAACTACAAATATTATAATAAGTAGCTATTGAAAACTAGTATTTATATAGAGTATCTGTTAAATTACATTCACATATTCCAAGCTTCATGTCTATGAAATACTATATGTCTAAATTTTTGCTACTTTTATACTTAAATATTATTGAATTAATATTTATAATTTTAATATCATCAATAGATCTAATTTTCTAATCTAAAAGTTGAAAATATAGTTAAATATAATTATCTTGCCTATTATAGGCTATAGCTAGCAGTTTGAAAGTATAATATAATTCTATTATATTTATAATAAAGTAAAAGATTTGTACTATATTGAATACTTGTATTCACCTAAAAATAATATCTTTTATAATTCAGAATCTAGCTTCAGCAATATTATTTGTATTATTATTATGAGTAGAAAGCTGTTGAAAAAAAATAGCCTATTCTTTGCAACACTTCTACAAAAATTTAAAATATCTTTGAAAATTTGGATATTTAAAGTATATTTGATTTGTTGTAAGTTCTGCATATATGGTATTAAGTATAACCACATTCTGTGCAAAAACAATTTTTTTATATATTCAATAAAAATAATATGATCACTCATATGAATATTATACTTTTCTTCTCATAACCATCTTTACATTGCCTGTAGAAAATGAAAAATACATAATAACAAAGTTGACTTTTCCTAAATACAGCATAATGCTTTTCTTACTAAACTAGAATCATTAGTTATAATTGCTTGTGATCTAGTAATTAATCTATGTTTACTAAATGCAGTAGATAGCATTATATGTTTTAATACTTCTAAGGCACTTGTTAAAGTAGATATAGTTTTATCTGATGTCAATATTACAGCAAGAAGTAAGCCACTAATAGGTGTGCTTGTTGAAATAACAGTTAAGAGAGTATTAAGATTATCAAGACTTGTAGTAATATCTATATATACTAATTCACTAGCTTGTTGTAATGAATGACAGTATCTTATAAACTTTGTAACAATAACCAATATAAAAGGTTGGTTAGGTTTATTATCAGTTAGTGCAATATATAGTTACATCTAAGCATTTCTTCTATTACTAGTATTAAACTCTTTAACCTCTCAGCTAAATGAGAAAATATTTCTTTTTCATTTTGTGTACTAACTAATTTATTAAGAAATTTTTTATAAAAGTTATAAATATAATATTTTGTAGACATATTGCTCTATTAGCTAGTACCACTTCATCATTATCATATTTTAATTAAACTTCTTCTAAGTATATATTATATGCACTTGTAAGGTTATATCTAGTTTTAAAGAGTTTAAAAAATATATCTTTTGTATTATTAGATATAGAGTAGAAGCTTGTAGTATAACTTGATACTAGAGAGTAATTATGATAAAAAAGTAGTGAAATTATACAAGAATAAAGATTATATTTATTTTGAACTATTATACTAAATATTGCTGAGCAGTCAGTATTTCATACTTGTATACTAACTTTATTCTTTTCTTTTATTATATATTCTATATTTATATTTATTTCATCATCAATTTTATTATCTTTTTTTGTCCCTATTTTAATTTCACTAAATAGCTATGAATATAATAATAATGCTTAGAAAAAAGGTAATGAATGCCTTTTACAATTCATCCTTAGATTTTCTTTATAGTTATTTTATATAAATTAAAGAACTTATTAAGCTATATTTTAGTATTGTCTTTAGTAAAAATATTTATACTAAACTTTGCTTAGAATAGTTCTGTATATGTATCTAAGAAGCTATATAGTTGAACTACTCTGAATAAATCAATAATATAATTATATTTCTGAAGTAAAACTTACTACAAGATAGTGAGTTATCTTGAGTAATTTCAATATTTGATAGTGAAATAGAAGATATATTCATTTGAGTAGTGTTTAGTATCAAATTTAGATCTATTAATAAAAATTAAAGAGAAATTATATTAATATGTATATTTAAGAAATCTCAGGAAGAACCTTTTATAATCTAGATCTAAGTATTTAGTAAATGAAAAAGATTGCTTTTATAAAGTAAATAGAGAGTATTACATCAATGCAAATTTAAAGTTTACTATTACATTTATGATTTATTTTATATAAAACATTATATCATTTATATTATACTTTAATTACTTCAATATACAAGCTATTTGTGAATATTATAATACTATTAAATAATTATTTATTAAAAAAAAAATATTTTAGATAACTTTTTATACCTAATAATATAAAACTCTTTCTCGCACTCCTGAGTTTATATATAAAAAAAATTAACAACAAAATATTGAACAAATATACAACAAGTAAATAATAAATAAGTAACTATTATTCTATACAAAAATGAGCTCTATTACAATTACAGCTAGGCAATATTAAGAGAATGCATGACAATATCTCTGCTCTGCTAGAACTTGCCAAAGACTTGTTGCTAACTAGTTCAGCAATAAAACAAAATAACAAAAAGCTAGTCTGCCTTACTTACAAAACTATTAGCTCATCAAACATGTCTCAATGACAAACACAAACTAGTAAGAAACGAAGAAAGAATTCTACCTCATCAGATAGTGCTGATAGTATACAAACTGAAATACAAGTTGAAGACAATATTTTAATGCAACAAAGTAGCGATGCTTCCCTCTCTAAAAATTCTAATACTACTGTATCACCTACAAGCCAAAACATAACAAATACAAATCAGAACCAGTTGCATCAAACAATAACTAAAAAAGGAAAAGAAATTAGTATCAATTTTTCTGCGCCTAATGCAGAGTTGACTAATATACCTAGCAAGAATCAAGTAACTCAACAAACTAAAATAGGAAGTAGATCTTCAATCAATGAACAGAATGATCATATGTTAGAAACTAGTTCAGTCAATATAATTGAAGATATTAAAAATCCTCATCCTTCATATAGCCAAGTCATCTCTTATAGTTTGCAAAAACAAACAACAACTCATGATAGAACTGATATTAGAAATGTATGGGTACAACAATTCAGAGAGAGCCTATCTGATATTAGAAAAAAACAACTATTATATATGATTCACAAATATGGCTACTAGACAAAATTGTCAGTTCTCTCACAACACTAGACTCTCTAAAAGAACTGATTAAATACAAGCTAAGTATTCTACCAACAAATATTAATATCCTATATACAATTAAAAAGAAATTTGAATACCAAAACATAGCCTTCTTTTGTTCCTTTATGCGAACTGCTGCAGCTCGCCTAGTATACCAACTAGAGTTTGAATCACTTATGCATAATACTTTAGAGTCATACAAGAAACAGCATAGTATTTGTATTACAAACAAAAAGAATTATGACCAAATCTTTATGAAGCTTCGAACAATGCTCTCTTTAGATGCTCTTTTAAATTTAGATTTGATTTGATCAGACATATATGAAGCAATATAATATATCCTCTACTTCATTAACTTTGCAAAAATTCAAACAGAGCTAAAATTTGAAAATATACTAAGCATAATCTAGGCTGAGAAAAAATACCCTCTTTTGCTACTACCATCTGCTCCAAATCTCATAAACAGTAAAATTCATGAAGCTATTCCTTTTACACTTTCTAGCAAGGATAAAAGACAAGCAGACACAATTGCAAAAGTATTAAGATTAGCTTATACCTTTACTTGTATACCAGAAGATTATTTTGATGATAAGCATCTACTACTTCCAGACTCACCATTCTCACTTGATGAATCTTTGAGAGACTTCTTTTCAATAACTTTCTATTCAGAACTAAAATCTCTTTCAAAATATAAAGAGAAATTACAAAAAATATATATTGTATATTATATTCTAAATATATATTTTGACTTCCTAGCTTCAAAACAAAAGCTTCTTTGTACTCCACAAGAGCTAATATCACGTTTGAGAGAAATATTTCCATTCTTCTCAAAAAATGACGAAGATTTCAAAGAGCATATACACCTTCTAAAAGAAAGCTATACTTTTGCAAGATTACCAAATGATTATATTATACAAAGACATCATCTACTAAATGATCCAAACAAATTACTATTGGAAAACAAATATATATTTCTAATAGAAGATAAAGTAACTACTCGAGTATTCATTGATAAAATTCCTCCAACATATCAGATACCTGCATCATTTCCATCTAGCTACATGACTATAAACTCTACTGACCTACTAAACTTGCAAGAGGAGTATTCACAGGTTGATAGAGTTAATTTAACTATCCCTATTACTACACCTAGGCAACTCAGTATTGCAGTTAAAGATCTCAGAAAATACTACTACTTTAAAAAGATTTCAGAAAATTAGATTCAAATCGAAAATGCTAATAATGATCTAGCTGAAAGTCCTCAAAGAATACCTAATATACTAGAGCAATTTATAATAGCTGCTAAACAAATAGAAGAACTAGTACACTTCAACTTTCTAATTACAAAACATGAAGAGGTTACAAAACTTTTATGTATATACTTTACTTTTCAAACATTTTCTCTATTCATTTTTGATCTACTAGATCTCCCAGAACCTAGTTGAGAGATCTTTGACAATAATAACTTACAATATATCTAAACTAATATATCAATAGAAATCAGCATAGAAAATAACAAAAATGATTAAAAAAAATACTTCTGAAAAAATTAACTTTGCAACACACAACATACAATGATTAAACAATAGACTAAAACTACACAACTAGCTAACATATTGCAAAAAAAAACAATTCTATATAGTTTTAATAACAGAAACTAAACTTAAAACAAAGGTTCAACAATATTAACTAACCTACTATACAAAATCTTCTCATCTAATTTTATACCAAAAAATAATACACAGCATGAAGCCTCTCTAGAAACTACTCTTGCAATATACACATCAATTAGCCTATATATAAACAATACTGAAAATTTTCCTGATACAGCAATATTTATTGATCTCTGGTTTCCTAGAAACAACAAAATAAGATTTATTTCAATCTACATTCCAACAAGCCATCCGAAGTTAGCATTCAGTATACAAAGAGTTATTAACTCATAGATAACAGAAACAAAAACAAGAAACTAGCAATGTATAATTATAGGTGATTTCAATACTAACTACCTCTTAAAAAACAAATACAAAATCCTATTTATATATTTAGAAACACTAAGTCTAAATAGTTTGCTACAATTCTATAATATCTTAGCCCCTACATAGCAATGAGGTTAACTATCAAGCCAAATTGATGATATTTGAACTACTTCTAAACTCATTCTTGACATAGAAATACTAGAGTAAATCGATCCATATAATATTACAGATAGTGAACATTGTATATTAGTGACTACTTGGTATACAAATTTTATTACAAGACAAAAACACCAGAAAAAGTATAGACACAAATTCTACAACTATGATAAAGCAATGAAAGAACAATGGGAAGAATTTAGAACTCTAATCAACAATGAGGTGCAAGAAAAAGTTAGCAATGAGACCATAAATAATATATCAATGCTAAATAAAGCCTAGGACAAATAGATCAATATAGTTAAACAAGCAGCAAACAAATACATTCCATTCTCATATAGTACTGGCAAACAATTTTATATACTCTCATTAAAGGCAACTCTATTACATCAAGTACTGACTCATGTAAAAAAAGCTCAACGTGTATGGCAACTAGTGAATACACCAATATTAATCCAAAGTACTATACAAAAGATAAACAAACACATAGAAAAAGCAAACAAATTAACAGATCAAGATATTCCTCTTATAAATGACATCGATCTCATAATACTAAACATACTGCTTAAAGCAAATTTGTACAAGAAAAGAGAAAAACTATGGCAAGCAAGAAATTTGGAACTGAATCTTGAGCAAACAGAAAGAATAAAATTTTTTGTGAACAAGAGATATGACAACTTTCAGAATAATATGACAAAAATGATAGATAGCATCTTAAAACGAAATAAACAAAAAGTAGATTTCCAAAAAATTATTACACTAGAAAAAATAATTACAAAACCAAAAGATATAAAGGAATATACTAGCAAGCATTTTGCAAACTAGACTAAATACAATCTGCCTAATAAAGATCTATAGCACATATGGGAAGAATACTATAAACCAATAGAAAATATATTGTTCTCTGTTTACA